TATATATATATATGAATTCCTTCAGCACATTCTCACATACAAATATATAGCAAACTTTCAGTATGTTTAACTATTATTATAATGATTCTGTCTATACTGTGCAAATATTTTTATTGCCTTTGAATCCTTACTTTCAAACTTAAACAGAATACACCATTGTCAAAAAGTGACTTCTTGTGCTGGAAAAATACCCTTATAATTCAGTTGGACAATAAAAGGCTTTGGCTGAACAGAGACATTTTCTTTATAATATAAGGTCCATTGCCATGATCTACCTGCTATAATTCTCACAACAGAATACTTGGCATTCTCTTGTTTTATTTCTCCCCCATATTTTGAAAGAGTATCAGTCTACATGGGGAGAACACAGTGTGAGTAGGCAATCCCATGTAGGGGTCACTATGTGGAGACTTCTCTCTCTATCGTGTCATTGAGAATCCTGGAAAATTAGGTTTCCATTGGGCGGAAAAACTCCATGAATAGAGGATGTGGACAGTGATGAGAACAAAGCTAGGGGAGCAAATCTACAAAGCTTACCCTCTTCCACTTTCTCACATACAGAATTTCATATTTTAAAAATGAATGAAGAGGACACCAGTACCGATACATTTACTATTATTAAGCTACTTATGTAAGCTACTTTACATTAAATACTGACATGTAGATTATTTAATATGGATTCTTTTGTCTGATTGTTATTACTGTTCAATGACACTCAGCTAGGTATTTCAAAATCTAAGAACACCTCTGTGAATCCCCCAAAAATCTATACTGACAGAATAATCTAAACCTAAACCTTAGATAACCAAATAAGCTGCTACCTAAACACAAATATGTATTAAAACGAATTGCTGTTTTGTAAAGGAAAAATTAAGACACATATAATGATTAGCCACAGCAAGTTGTCCTTTAACAAATCTAAAATAAACTGCAGAATGGGAGGGTCTAGAATACTTCTTTTTAAAGTCTTTTTTTCAATAAAAGAAAGCAATATATTGTCGATTAGTTGTTTCATTCATAAACCTGTGATAAACATCTCATTCCACTGATAAAAAGGTAGAAATAATCTAAACCAGGTAAATAGCAAAAAAGTAGCTTTCTACTACCTGAATCCCATGACTCTCTCAGCAGCTGCCTGTCTTGAAAATCAGGAAAAAATAACATTGAGTTCCCTATGATACTAATTTTACAGAACAACATATGGGGAATTTCCCATTTCAATCCTGACTGATAATAATCTTAGGAGGTACAGACTCCAAAGACTGGATTTTGACATTTGCAAGCCTCTTTAGTTCAGAAAACGCTGAGATTAAGATCTTCTCTACAGACTCTAATAACAGACAGTGCAATCCATTAATCAACTAAAATGCTATATACTATTGCTAAAAAAAACATCCCACCCTATGGTGGAAAATGGCATACACCATACCTGAGCAATTTCAGAGACCACCACCTAGAAAAGTTCTCCTTGATTATGTCGAACTTGCAACGTGTCACTCTGGTTATTCTCTAATCATTATATCAAGCTCCAAAGGTTCAGCAAACCCCCAGTTGGTTTACAGTTCTGTAGGTTAAACTTTAACTGGCCTATCTCTCTGCTCCATGCAGCCCTTTGACCAGATAGCTAGGTCACTGCAGCTCATTGTCTACAAAAACTACATATGTTTACAAAATCCACAAGATACAAGTCAATAGAATAAATGTCCATGAGGTGAGAAGGATATCATTTAAAAATTGGTCAGCTAGATTACCTGGGAAAATGTACAGAACTTTACCCCAACCTAATTTTATCTTATCAGCAGAATAACTCCCTGCAAACTGTCTTCAGAGCTTCAGAAGGCCCCCCCTTGCTGGATCTTTATAATGTCTACTTTGTAAACTCATTTTTGTCTAGGTGACAGTTTGGAGTAATGCTCATATTGGCATTTGGCAAGGAGGCGTTGTCAATGTTGTCAGGTAAAGGCCTGAAATAGTGCATAATTTTAAATGGATCTAGCTACAGCACCACTTTTTAGAGTAAAATTTTTCACTGGAAATGCTGCACTCTATCTGCAGGCAGGTAAAGTGGGACTCTAGTTTGCCTAAACGTCTGCAGAAAAAACGGCAATTCTCCAGTGATTGGGCTGATCATTACTAGAGCCATGCAAAACCTTCAAAAGAAGCACTTCAGACCACATGGGCTGTTTCACATATTTGTGCACACATATCCATGAAAGAGGTACAGATGCAACTACCCAACTCTGGGAGAAGATGCAGCTGCTTTAATAAGCAGCTTTCCAAGACAGGTGCTTTGTACATGCTCCCAAACCTCTTTCAACAGATTTGTAGAGCCCCGATCATTACTATTGGCAATATCACTTTTTCCTCCTCCTTTTTAAAAATCTGTGTTATTTCTGTCCCATGACTATTTTTCATCTTCCACAATGCCCAGGGCTAGCACCATTTCTAGGCACTGTGGCAGGAAAACAGCAGTTCCCACAAAAAAAGTGGCTGCAGAATATTAGGTGAAAATTCTGAAAAACCTTTTCCCCTAGGAAAGAAAAAAAAAAAGTTGTTAAGTATCAATATGGCAGTTTTAAATATTGATATTTTAAATAAATACAAAGCAAATCATAATCCTACCCAGGCTTACTAACTCCATTTAAATATTTAGCGAAATTAAGAGTGTCATGTTTTGTATAGTTCTATCAATTACACATCTATTACCTTATGAACCTATCTTAATATCTGCTGTTCATTGAAATAATTATTTTACAAAGTAAGAAATGGCTCTTACATTCAAAAACAATACTAATGTAGTTATTTGAATATTCGCCTCTGCATGTCTATGCTTTGAGACAGAAGTGGAAAATATTATATGGAATTTATGATTGCCTGTTTATGATTGAACACATGCATACTGATAACACGACACTCAACATGTAATTGAAGGAAGAATAAAGATACAAACAAATTATTAATCACGAATCCATAATTTTTGGCATTTGGAATTTGGGCATATGTGGGTGTTTATGCAAAATGGCTGTAGCAGGACTTGCCCATTTGCAAATGGTGGTGGGCCTGAGGGATAATAATTAATTACACAGTACTAATTGGTTAGATTTCTTGCCATTCCCTCTAGCTTACCCTCCCATAGAAAACTCTCTACTAGGGGTGTGGGTGGTGGTGGTTAAAATAAGGCATGATGGCAGCTGTGACTGCGTGACTGAAGCCCTGTTTTCACATGCATTGTCCGTGCAACATATAGTACATAAGAAAATTGGTGTAGTTTTGATCCTTCAGTTGCAGCCACCATCCTCACCTTGGATGGCCCTGCTCCCTACTACCTCTGCTAACCTTTGCTCTTTTTTCTGTACATGTAGGCGTATCTTGGAACAGCTGGAGTCAAACTACCATTTTTATTTTCTAAAAAAAAGTTTGGGGATCATTCTTGGAAAAAAAAGGTAACACTGCTTCATTGGAACATGCCAGCCTCCCGTTTTTTAATTATAAGGCTTTAAAAAAATGTAAAAAGTTAGATAGGAGAAAATGCCTGGTAATGCCACATTGAGAAATTTAGTAATCAGTAGTCATATCTTGGAATAAAGACTTGTCATCTAGTTTCTATTTTAGCTGTTTCAGAGAAATAGGCTATTTTTTAGGGATAATGGAAACTCCAAGAGAGCAGCATCTATTTCTGTTCTCAGATAGGAATCTGATTTCTTTTGTTCATGTGTCATATTATGCTTTCTAAACAGGACAGTCTTAATTAGTAAGGAGGGCATGATGTTAATAAATTCTTCATTAGAACAAGATGATTTCAAAATTAGAGATTCTCAGACTTTTCAAGAACAGTGAACATAAATACAGGCATGGGGTTCACAGGCATCCATAACCATAGAGTTGGAAAGAGAAGTCAACTTTCACCTGCTACTCTGCATAGATCCAAGCATCCATGACAGACGGTTTGGTTTTTATTGTTTAGAAGTTTTCCTGACTTCCAACTGGAATCTGCCTTCTTGTAAGTTCAGATCATTGTTCTTTCTGGGAAGATAATAAACAAGCCCTGGTCTTCTTCTTGTGTGTGAAAACCTTGTATGTACTTCAAAATCACTACCATATCCTCCTCTCCTCCAGGCTAAATATACCCAGTTCCTCCATCTCCATATGAGAGATGTTGCTTTTCTCTGAAGATATTCCAGTTTGTTTGAGACCCATCTACAACATACTGCCCTGAACTAAACTCAATATTTGATCTGACTGATTCAGAATGATTACTTTCTGGAACTGAAACTATTCTTCTGCTAATAGCCCCTCTGACTTTATTGAAGTTTATTCTTAAATTATTATGCAGGAACTATAATCTCAATCTGTTTATCCCAACATATTTTTACAGTGCCAATATCTTCAGATTTGGGGGAGGGGGCTCTATAGAATTACTAACAGGATAAGAATATCAGAGTAACATGTTGTCATCAGTAATTAAAATGACTCCATTTGAAATCAAGATATTTAAGTCAAAGATTGATAGCCTTTAGTAGCTCTGGGTTGAGTGCAATAATTGGCGTGATGAGCTAGATGGACCATCCCCCCAGATCATGATGTTCCTGCAAAATCTCATGCAAGATTGCCAAAAATCTCACAAGATGCCAGCATTCTCATGTAAGATTTGAAGATTTTAAATCTCACAAAATCTCTCCAACTTTACAATTTTAAAAATTACTTAGGGTTGGGGCCATTGGTGGTGAGATCTGATGGGTGCTTGTTCCTATCCTATAATGTAAGTGTAACAAATACTTATTGGATTATGCATAGCCCAATGTTCTCTTATGGTTAGAGGTACATTTCATATGATAAATCACTAATGGCTTGATCAAAGAATAAGTACTGAATGTTGCAAATTGAAAGTCTAGCTATGGACTGGGTTGAACTTTTGACACATGGCTTTGACACCATAATGATTAAATTTCTCTTCTGTCCTACCTAACTATTCCACCTTCTTATAACTTATGTTTATTAGTGACTTGAGGCAAATTAACTAAAAAGCAAACTTTATTGAACAATATATGCTATACAGGTCCTGGTTTTTGTTTTGGGGAGATCAATTTTTATTTACTGATGCACACAGAGGAAAATACAGGTAGTCCTTGGTTAACAATGGTAATTGGGACCAGAATTTCCATTGCTAAGTTATATGGTCATAAAGTGCAATGTCACGTGACAGTGTCACTTAGTGATGGCAGTTCTGGCAGTCCCCAATTACCATCATTAAGCAAATCATTGTGGTTCATTAAGCAAGGACCTCACATGACCATGACTTCTGACTTCCTGCTGGCTTTCCCACTGATTTTTCTTGTGGGAAGCTGGCAGGGAAGGTCACAAATTGTGATCATGTGACCATGGGGGTGCTGCAACAGCCAGAACTTCAAGGACTGATCAAAGTACCACTTCTTCAGCATTGTCATAATGTCAGCCCTAGCCCAAGAAACTCCAAGAGACCATGTAAATTCAGTCCAGCTATGTTTATTAGTTACAACCTCTAGCAAGAATCTTCCCAGACGGAAACCCCGGCCCCCAAGTAACGCCAGCCACAACATTGTGAATTCCTCAGGGAGGTGCCAGTCTCATCCTCTTGTATCTCCCATGCTGCTCAGGAGATGAAAGAAAATGTTTTTCACCCTGAGCCTGGCCTTCATAATTCCATTCCATCACACATAAGTTTGAATGGTTGCTGAATGTGTGGTCATTAACCAAGGACCATCAGTATGTTAAAAGGTATTAAAATGAATAGGATTTACTTATTAAGTTGGACTGAAGCCTGGAAACCCTCTTCACTGATTTTGTGTAATCAAGTAAAATCTGTATGAGAAAGAACATTTGGAAGTCTACACATATTTTTATTTACTTACTTATTTGTATTTTATTCATTTACTCTTGGGGAGGGTTATCTGGCATCTTAGATTGATGCTATTTGTTTTATTGACTCCTTTCACTTTTGCAATTATATAAAAGGCAGATAACAATAGGTAAATAGATGTCTCAGGCCAGCCTATAACCTTTAGTTTTGTGTATAAGCTGAGTCAGATGACCAAGAAGATAAGGTTTTCTGAATTTGGTCTTACACTGCTGGGATTGTGCTACCTAAAGCAAGGCACTGAATTTTAAAATACACCCTGGGGTAAGAGGAACCTACAATTAAAAATCTGTGTATCAAAGAGAAATACAGCCTTTTCTCTATGCACTATTTTTCCTAATCACGGGTGTTTGTTTTAAATGGGAAAGAACATGTGGATCTTTGCTATCCTGCCACTTTTCCAGAAGGACCATCCTGGAACTAAATGAGACACCTGAGGATTCTATTCCTGACCCTAAGGTTTCCAAGGCCAAGAAATGTTAGGAGGTGGTATAACTCTTGGGACTACCATTGAGATGATGGTGCCAGCATGACGGCCCACTCAAAGAAATTACAACACTGGGAAAATTGAGGTGCTTCAATCGGTGCCATTCCTTCCCTTCTGTCTTGTCATAATCA